TATTACAATCAAGGATAATGAAGTTCTCATTATGGAAGAAACCCCATAGGAAGCCATCCTTTGCCTCTCTCCCAAAATTCCCCCATGGATAACCCACAAGCATACACTTTCCCAAGCATGTCTGGTCTTGCATTCCAGGAATACCATTCCATCCCTCCCTCAGTAAAAGCACACCTCAGTTAAAGCTATACAGAACCAGTATCAGGTTCAATAACCATTTCAACATGTCACACCTGAGAATTAAAAAAAAAAATTCAAAATGTAATTTCCATAATCCAGCTGCACATACAGCAGGGAGGAAGGGAAAAAGGGGAGAGGGCGAAAGCAAGTGCAGGTTGAACCTCTCTCATCTGGTACTATCTGGTCTGGCAACATCCGTGGTCCAGCATGAATTTAGTTAGCCCAATGTCCACTTCTGAGTGTGGCCAAGTTTCCTGAGGTTCCATAACGTTTGTTTACAGCCACCAGTCCTGGTTCTCAAAGTTCTGTGCTGATATTTAGCTCTAATTTACCCCTGAATGTCTTCTAAGAGCCTAGTAAGCAGTGGAAGTGTTGATAATGCTGCTAAATAATACTGACCTCCTGTGGTTTGGCAAATTCTCTGGTTTGGCACCAATCAGGTCCCAAGTGTGCCAGACTAGAAAGGTTCAATCTGTATCTGCCTTTTTTCTTTTAGATTAGCTTTACAAAAAGGTAAAATAGATTTGGTTAGTCTGAACTGGATTCACCATATAAAGAGAATCAAATCAATAGGTATGCAACTCTTACAGCTGATTACCAGCGTAAGTTTCATTATCAAAGACAATACAGTCAGCGACATCTACGCATGTTTTCTGACGCATTTATCTACCTCAGAAGATGAAACAGATGTTTATTACAGATCAATAAAGACCTAGTGTCCGAAGAAATGAGCATCAGAAAAGAGAAATGGGAATGTCCAGGTAACTGCAGCATTTCAGTCTGCACACAGATATATATTTAGCAATAAACTAGAGATAGAGAGAAAAGGCTCAAGGACAATGACATTTTTTTTCAGTTAAACTCCCAATGTATTTTTGTGAAAGAAATCAAGTCTTTTGCTTTTAACTGTAGCCCATAACTGCATTAAGACTCCTGGGTGCTTTGATTTTTTTTTCTTTTTAAATATTGGTATACAGACAGCTCCGGGGCCCAGTAGGAGAAATTATTAAAAGCATGCCTGCAGAAGTAAAGAGATCAGTCATTGCCCTTATCCCCTGTGTTTCATGAGCACTTCTCCACTCATGCTGGGTGTATCAGAATTCACACCGTCAGAACCAACCCTTGTACCAAACTGAAAACTTACAAGTCTTTTAAGAATCAACATCTCGTTCCAGCCAAATGGAAAGCAAATCATCAGAAAGGTCAGATGCACCTTTACATTTCATCAAGTCCACTTTAATGTGTCCTCTACAATTCATTTAGCCTATTATATAGTAATATAGCTCTTATATGATGTATTATAGTTTCATAAAAAACAAATCCCAAAGAAACCAGCAATAGACAGAACAAACCAGCTGAGAGTGCTTTCCTAGGCTGCTTGAAGTTTCCAATGTCCAGGTGTACTTCAATGGTCATAATGGTGTGGGTTTTTTTTTGAGCTCTACTGTTGCAAAAATAGATATATTTTCTTTGACATGACTGTTCTATCCTGGGATCTTGACTTCCTTTCTTGAAGTCGCATTATTGTTGCTTCCAGAGTTTCAGGTATCATACACATGTACTCCATTATCCATACACTACTGTGCTAGAAACACATTCATAAAACTATTACTTTATTCATCCTTACTCAAAGAATTTTGGAGGGGTGAAAAGGTGTGAACATTACATGATGAACTTTATGGCAACATAGTGCTTACAGCAGTTTTGAAAAATGAGACAAAATTGAAGGATTTCACAAACTGCTTCCTGCTTCTAGTGACTATAGCGCAGGTGTTTAAAAGGAATCTAGACGTTGTTCCACTGAGCACACCACCACCTAGCTAACTAAAAGAGCCTCAGTCTCATTTCCAAAAGTCACTTAAGCACTTAAGGGTATGACTAGACTACATGGCTCCATCGACGGCATAGGCAAAGAAGCGGGGATTTAAATAATCCCCGCTTCATTAAAATAAACATGTCCGCCGCGCTGTGCTGACGATCAGCTAATCCGGCACAGCGTGGCAGTCTAGACGCGGATCTGTCGGCTGGGGAAGCCTTTGCTGACTGATCCCTTATGCCTCATGAAACGAGATTAACAGGATCGGTCGGCAATCATTAAAATAAATTAGACTGCCGTACTGTGACAGATCAGCTGATTGTCGGCACAGTGTGTCAGCCATGTTTATTTTAATGAAGTGGGGATTATTTAAATCCCCACTTCTTTGCCTATGCTGTGTAAACTAGTTTACATGGCTCCGTCGACGGAGCCATGTAGTCTAGACATACCCTAAGAGTCTAAGTCATATTGAAAGACAATGAAACTCAGGCTCCTAAGTTACTTTTGAAAATGAGACTGAGGTGTTACAATGCTGAATGGAGCAATGCCTAAATACCTGTAAAAGTCTGGGCCTAACGCTATTACTCTAATCTCAGAAATCTTTATAACTACTGAATGTTGACAAATATTCAACTATAAAGTGAAAATAGCCACAGGTTTATTAGTGGTCAAAGTCATCATTGGGGCTACTCAGGAAATATTGATGAGAAACAGAAGCTACATTTTGTGAGAACTGCATATTTTCTCCTCTCTTCCCCAGCTGTATCCTAATAGACTCATTATGCCTGCTTTTCAGATAGCTCTTGGCTCCAGAGCGAGTATGCTAACTTTGTGGGCTACAGTATTTGATTTGCACCAAATAGTCCATTCTCACCTTGGAATCAGTGAAACTAGCAACTGATATCTACAACAAGCTGGAGAACATACCTGTGTGATCGGAGTTCAAAATATAAAATTGGAAGGACCCCTTTCTGCAGTTTTCAAAATAATCTCATAGAAACGTAAGGCTGGAAGGGACCTCAAGAGATCATCGAGTCTAGTCCCTTGTGCTGAGGTAGAAGCAAGTATACAGATTTTTGTTTAGCCTGTTCTTTAAAAACTCCAATGATGAGGTTTTCACAACGTCCCTTGGTAACCTATTCCTTACAGCGTCAGGGGGTAGCAGAGTTAGTCTGTACAGGATAAACTTAAAAAAACCAACAAATGGTCTAGTAGCACTTTATAGACTAACATCTACATGTTTTGTTAGTCTATAAAGTGCTACCAGACCATTTGTTGGTTTTGAAGCTATTCCTTAAAGTTAGGAAAAACTTCATAGTACAAGTTGGATCTCCCTGGTCCAGCACCCTCAGGACCAGAGTGGTCCTGAAGGAGCGAATTTGCCAGACCAGGGTAGGTTAGGCCTTGGGCTCTCTCAGGGTACATCTAGACTACATGCCTCTGTTGCCAGAGGCATGTAGATTAGGCTACCAGGCATAGGAAAAAGAAGCGGCGATTTAAATAATCGCCGCTTCATTTAAATTTACACGGCTGCCGCGCTGAGCCGACAAACAGCTGATCAGCTTTTTGT